CTCCTTACAGAGCTATAAGTTGGTGCCCTTTGCCAGGGTTGGTGTCTGCAGAGAGTTTCACGGGGCCAGGGAGCTTCCAAGGGAAGGAAGCAAGGAGCGCTGCTTAGACTCAACCAGGCAAGAGACATGATGAGGTATTGAGGATCTCCATTTTTCGTTCTAGTGCATCCTGCATTAGAGAGCTGACAGGGACTTGGGATAGAAGGCCAAGGTGGGAATCAAGTATAAATTTGACTCAAAATTTGCCTATGCAAAACATCTTAGGAATGGGCTATCTATCTGCTTAATGCAAGACAACCCATCCCATGTAATTAGGAGATGGAACACTGATAAATGAGCACCCCTACCATATGGGAACTCCAAAAGTACTCCTAAATTTGAATTCCCTCCCTTCCACCCTCACTGAGACTTGGCCCCGGGAAAATAGCAAGGTGCAAAGGTGTTGACTCTAGGCAGTTAACAAGTCCACTAGTGTTTCTACATTACTCACTCTTAGTCACCAGGCATTCACTGAGGGTCCACTGTGAGCATGAACAAGACTAAGGGCTATTAGTTTATGTCATTCCCTGATGTGCCTGCCCTCTTCAACTGCTCCTTCTCCAACGTCTATGTCATGTTCTTGTAGCTCCTGAGAATGCAACTGGGTTGGGTACTAACAAAGAAGGCCAGAATGAGCTCAAGGGTATTGCATTATTGCTGGAAGAGTGTTCCCATTAATAAAAGCAGGCATTGTGTAATGTCATTCACATATTACTGTACACAAGATGATGCAATGTAATACTGGCCCTCAGTTCACCCGGAGCTTAATGGGAGAAATGAGACTAATCATTCCAAGTCCTTGCATTTTTACCATTGAGAATCATAAAATATTAGAGCTGGAAGGGACTTTAGAGAATATCTCACCCAATCTTCTTTGTTTTACTAATGGGGAATCTGAGGCTTATGTTAGTCTTCATTGAATCTACCAACTGGAATCTGTCCAAAGTGCCTGTTTCTACTTACAAACGCAACGTTTGGAAACAGATTGGGTCCTGTGCCATCTGCTACCACCCTTGGTAGACTGGAAGACTAAGAATCTAGAATAGTTCCAAGCTGTCTAATGTACTTCATCTTGCTTCATTATTAGTATCCTGGTTCTAGAAATTCTCTGCCTGAGGGTAGAGTGATGTGGGATAAAGGTAGGAAAAATAAAAATAATTCTTGTTTTCTTATAATTTCATCTGGCTCGTCACTGCATCAAGGTGAACTTTTTAATCTTAGATCTCAGATCTCTGGGGCATGGGCCCAGCCCTCCATGTTTGATACAGAGCTATGAAGGCTGTCCAGCTTTGGTAGCAATCTCAAAAGCATGTTTGTGTTGGACCATTTTAAAAATGACATAGTCTTCATTGGAGCTTGCACCTGTGTGTTTGTGTGTCTTCTGCCACATCTCCTTAATAGGGGAGAAGGGTAGGCATAGTCTACCATTTAGAATGAGTTCAGGCTACATAGTCTATACAGCATCAAGGCATGAATGATGTCGTTCTCAAGCCACTTTTTGCCTGAGGTATTTGTATAATTGTGGAATGGGTTACAAGAAGCTTCCTTAAGAATTATTTTTGGCTTTAGTGGGCTTTTTTCAATGGAAACATATTTGGCTTTGTGTGAATTGGCCTAACAGAAAAGTCATAGACAACATCATTTTTCTCTAGGAAAACTTTTAAATAAAGAGTACTAGAAATATCTTGGGTATACAGAGTCAAACAAATCTATTGACCCAGGGTAGGCCATCACAAGTGACTTGTAGTCAAAGACACATTTGCCCAGGATCAGATGCTTAGCAGGTCTCCTGAGAATGGCAGAAGAGAGACTAGAAATTAGCAGAGCTTGCTTCTGTTTTTGAGAAGGGCCCCTCTATGTTTATATAATACAAAGCTTTGGAAATAGAAAACCCTGGCCAGAAAGCTAGAGGCCAAGAGAAGAAATAGAAATTAAATGAAATGCTTCCTCTTGCCTCCCCCTCAGTCCTGTAAAAATAGACAGAGACTTCCTTTTCTACTTACAGATGGGGAGAGTGCTGCTTTGCAGTTAGAGCTGAGTTGTGAGGTTGAGGCAAGCTGGGTGAGTGTTGACAGCTCTGAATTATAGTCTCCCTGAATTTAAACCCTGTCCCCAAGAGGGTCTTTGGATCGGGAAATAGCATGACCTCCTGGGCCACGCAAAGAGTAGGAGGCACTTGACAACGCTGGAACATCATTTTTTGGCAAGCCACAGAATTTAGCTAGACTCTTCTCCTACTTGCCAGAAGTTGGGTATTGAAACTCATCTTTGCCGCTCACCATAGAAAGTAAAGAGTATTAGAACGGTCTTTTGAAGGGTCTAAAGGTTCAAGAGAAAAGAATGCAGTTTTACTTCATTCGTTCATTTACTTAGTAAATATTTATTCAACTCCTGCCACTCCTAATCTGTGCAATTTGCCCTGTTTGTAGAGAATGGAATACGAAATGATCAAGTCTTGGCCCTCCACAATGTTTCATACTAGTCAGGGAGATAAGACTGAGCCACAAATGATAATTTTTTAAAAAGTGGAATGTGACAAGCTCCTTTAGAAAAACAGGAACAAAGTTATAGGAATTCAGAGTTGAAAAAGATCTGGCTGAGCTGGGGAGAGCAGGGAAGGCTTCATGGTGGAGGTGGCAGCTGGAATAGTGAAGACAAGCATTCTAGGTGGTGAACAGCGTGTGCGAAGGCCAAAAAGCATGGAAATATGTTTGGAAAATAGTGAGTCTTCTAGTTGGAGGTAATGTAGAGGATGAGATCAAGTAATAGGAGTTAAGGCTGAATGGAAGGTTTTAAATGCCAGGCGACTGTCAGGCAGGAGTGCAATGAAGAACCACTGCAGAAATGAACCTTGCTGTAGAAAAATTTATCTGGCAGATGAGTTTAGCGGTGAAAGACAGGAAGGAAGAGGTGATTCAGGAAGCTATTACAACAGTGCAGACCACAGAAAATGAAAGCTCACATAGGGTGTGGGGGGTGGGGTGGTGTGATAGGTTGAGAGAGAAGCAGTAGGAACAGAATGAGGAGGCAGAGACAGCAAACACTGCGGCACTAAAATGGTAACTGATTAGACGTGGGGCAGTGAGGCAGAGCAAACTGTCAAAGATGGCTTTGAGGGTTTTCAACTGGGGTGTAATCCCCCCTCATGATGATCATACCATTTCTATCTAGGGAGGAAGGCTTAAGAGAAAACTGATTGCTATGAGGTATTTGTCCAGGGCTCATAGCTGGCAAAAATAATGATCCCCAAAGAAAGAATTCAATGATATGTGAGAAGTAGCCTCAGAGAGTGTATCGAGGACTACACTGTGAGGGGGCTTTCCTGAGGGTGACAGGTACAGAGAGTGTACAGGCAAAGACCTGCCTGCAGAGAACTTACAGTTGGAGAGACAAGACAAGAACAATACAAAGACATAACACCAAACACTACAAGAAAGAATGTAATTAACAACTCAATCCTGTAGTCCAGACTGTGAGTTATATAGACATTTAGAAGCAAGGGAGAGCAATGAAGGGGGCCAGGTGTCTTGGGGAAAATGGTACATGAGGTGCTGTTATGGTCGGGATTTGGAAGAGAGAGAGGCAGGGGAGGAAAGCACGTGAAGGCAGCGTGCTGGGAGGGGACAGTCATGTTTAAGAGGGAGCGAAGAGATCAAACTGGACATTTCTTCTCCAGGAATTTAGAAAAGTTCCCAAAGTCAGTCGTCTGGGAGATCTGAAGTGTGCACGAGAAAAGAGGCATCAGCTCAGTGCGGTACTTGGACTAGTGGTGAACATTTGCATAGCCACAGCGGAAACACTGACCACAGATTACTAATTGAACAATGTTATAATATGGCTGTTTTAGGGTGATGGGAGAAGGAAAGTTGGATGTGTGTTTATAAAATAGCAAAGTTCCTATCTTCTTTGGCAGAAAACCAATAAATTTTAATGCTTAAAATTAATACATCAAGAAATAGCATTGTAAGCCTATTATTTACAAATACAGCAGTGCCTAGGAGAGGAAAGAGCTGACTGAGTTGAGGTGGTTGCCTCTCGGGAGCAAAACGATGGGTTGAAGTGGGGCAGAGGACTGCTAATTTTTTAATTTTTTTGAGGAAGATTAGCCCTGAGCTAACATCTGCAGCCAATCCTCTTCTTTTTGCTGAGGAAGACTGGCCCTAAGCTAACATCCGTGCTCATCTTCCTCTTCTTTATAGGTGGGACGCCTGCCACGGCATGGCTTGATGAGCTGTACGTAGGTCCACACCTGGGATCCGGCTGGCAAACCCCAGGCTGCTGAAGCAGAAGGTGCAAACTTTACCCGGGGTGCCACTGGGCTGGCCCCCAGGAGGACTGCTAATTTTAATTATACTATGTGAATTTAAAAACTAGACAAGTATAGTGATACAGTTTTTGACAAAAAGGAAAATTTACATTTAAAATACCTGATACTTATTCTGGGGAGTAGTCCAGCGGGTGATGATGTCAGTGGCTAAGCAACAGAGGACACTTGGATTTATTTTGCTGCCTTCGATGGGGACCCCAGGGTGGCTTTCTGGGAAGGCTACAAGGTTGTGTCTCAGCCAGGCGGCTCCCTATGTTCTCTTTTTCCACCTTCCTGCTGGCCCCCAAACTCAGCGTGCTGGTGTTCTTTCCTGTTTCCTGCTGCCTTGACCTTCCATTTGGGGTTCTCCCCTCTGCCTGCTCCAGGGTAGCATGGGAGCCGTGTGTGTTTCCAGCTCCTTGATCCATTGATGACCCTGAGGAAAGAAGCCCCAAAACACTTTTCTTTTTATCTCATTGTAAATTGTTACCAAGAAACAGCAAGGTGCTAATAAAAATCATAAATGTGAGAAAATGATGAAGTTGAATCCATCTTAGAGAGTCCTTTCATTCATGGTCTGGGACTATGATTCCTAATTCTCTAGTTTGTTCCTAATTCTCTGGCCTGGACTTGATTGCTCTATTTTTTATTCCAGATGTTCTATGCAGTCAGGAAAAAAAGATCCTGAACAGAACAGTAAGTGTCACAAGTGGATGATTTGCATTTCTGGGGATTCCTAAAATCGGGGAAACCTATTTAAGGCAATGCTGGTTCTACAAAAGAATCTTCCCTCTCCAGACTGAAAACAATTGTCAGAGTTCTGGGTTTATTTTGAACATAGCCTCCTCCAGTTTCTTTCTTCCCCTCTCCTCAACTCTCCTCCAAAAAGGAGAAACAAAGCTCTTTAACCTCTCCAGATTTGGGAGAAGACGATAACAAGGGTACACCAAAGGCCATACTTGGAAATTCATATCCAGCTCTGCACCTTTATTTTGGAGTGTGGTCAGAGCTGTATATCAGTCCAGGGAGGAAGTCTGCCAAAATCGTTTCAGCAGATCCTGGTCATCACCATTCCCCGAAAGCTCCTTCCTTTAAAAAGTCCCTGCTTTCAGTGCTAAGCTTCTGCTGAGAAAAGCAAAGGATTTTTTTCTCCCCCTCTTCCTTCTGCTTGCAGCAACACAGCTCCAAGTCCCTGCTCTGGGGCATTGGAGTTTACAAAGGACCTTTGTCTCAGGCGGAGCAGTCAGAAATGGGGCCTCTGATAGGCTGGCTTGTTATTGATCGAAAGCCCCAGGCACTCAGGTGGCCAAATTTCTTTATCTGGCTTTTTCGTAGCCAACATTCAGTGATAAATGGGACATAAATATTCAGCAATAACTAATAAAAGCCCACACTTCTTTCTCAGTCTTTGGGAGCCCCCACTTCTGAATGGTATCCACCTTTATCTCAGAGACGTGCCAATAGTTTAGGAACCAAACTGTTGTTGGAGCTCAGGCCTTACCCAGGGGCGTTTCTCCAGCTCTGGTGTGTCATCCTCACGGCCAATGGAAGGTTGATGGGATTAGGACATAGTTTTCTCACCTGTCCTGGGATGATGAACATTTTGCTTTGTTTTCGTTTCTGGTTCTCCCGCAGAGTGAGCCAAGGAGCTAGGCCAAAGGGTCCCAGCAGAACAGTCAGCCCCAAGAGGCCTGCACCCCTGCAAAGGGAGTGAATGTGTAGGGAACAGGGGTAGCAAAAGGGGCAAGATGTTCTGGCTAGTTAGGCAGACCCTTCCTTCCTGTATCTTTTTCATCTTTTGAGGCTGGTTCTGGCAGCACCCAGAGGAGAACAGTGGGAGCAGAGCAAAACAGTGGACACTTCTAGAAATAGCCTCACTGATTTCTGGCTGCTACATATCCAGTCACTATGCATGTCAGTGGAGAAAGCCTGAGGACGAAGCTTCAGGGACTGGAGTGAACTGCAGCCTGGACTCTGGCCACCAGCAGCTCCACCCTACTGTGAAGGCCACTGAGGCATGGAATGAGAAAGAGAGACGAAGAATCTCCCCAGCAGCGCTTCTTCCAAAATGTGGATCCACAGGTCATTGAATACCTCTCTGGTTTTCTCCCTGGGCCATTCCGTCAGGCTCTTCGGGCTGGGCCAACACGCTCTGGGATAATTTAATGATGACTCAGTTCATTTTGACCTCTGAGGCTGTCTCCACAGAAGAGAAGAAGCATTTACACACAATATTCCTTCAATATTATTTTTTCCTAGTCTTGGCTGATTATTAGATGGCTCCTTTCTTTTCTGGCCACATTTGGAGCCCTTCAATGTGGGGCCTGTCAGATGCTGGTTTTCGGTGGACTTTATTAATTGTGATCCCCTCAGGAGCATTCTGAATGAGTTATATACATAAATCAGTGGGTCCAGTTCCTGAAATGTAGTGAGAAATAAATGAAATTCTAGCTACTTATTATTCTCACTATTATTTGTGTGCTTAATATATGCTTTTTGGGTAGATGGACAGACAGACGGTTGGAAGGAGGAGCGTTCTCTGTGGCTTCAATAAGCAGACATTGCAGTGAATTACAAAAGCACTTCCCCAACAATGTGGGCTGCCAGGTCTCCAAATTGGAAGTAGAAGTGGGGGATTCCCATGTTTTAAAAACTCTGCTCCACTCTCAACTTTGCTCCAGTCTTCACTGGGCTACTTGAGGTTTGTCCCAGGAGCTGATATCTGACTCTCCCTGACGCTGTTTTCTAGAGTGAAAGCCCAACATTTGTTGATAGACTATCCCCAACAGCAATGTTATTTCTAGGATAACCTTTATCTTGATGGCTGCTGTCTAACATAAACAGAGAAGAGAAAATAAAAGAACACCATTTCTACACAAAGCAGTGGAGAAATAAACAAATATGGGACTAGTAGCCACGCTGGAGGGGTGTTTTTGCACGCACAATTACCTGCCTCAGCTGTTGGCCTGCTTCCTGGCTGCTTTTCTCTGCATTGCTTGACCTTTAGACTAATGCCATTAAAATACATTCCCAGTACCACATAAATGGTTTTCAATGGCCTGGCTGCTTAAGGAAAACTCATTGACATGCAGTGTACGGTTACTTATACATGCGAAAAAAGAGATTAAGAGTCCTTTTTGACATCAGCTTGCTAGGATCACAATTTGTTATGGCCCCTCTATAGATTAGTAACCTCCCTATGGATTGTTGGCCTCAAATGACATTATAGCATCTGGCATCTCCTTCTCTAGCTACCAGGTAAGGAGGTGTATCCATGGCTGAGAAATTCTCTGCCCTGGGTTCAGTCCTGGGCTTGTCGTTGAGTCACTGGTTGATGGAAAGAGTGACATTATATTCCTCTGCACTTCTATGCTTGCCTGGATTCATCTGTGTCTTTCACTATGTCCTTGATTTCCTTCGAATCTAGATACTGGAGTTGCATGCTTTAAGAACATGGAGTTCTTTTTTCCTCCATTAGCTTCTTCTACCATGCTCTCCCTAGAAAGGGAAACAAGGCTATAAACGCCATATGGATTCTGACCCTAAAAAATCAGAGAGAGGATCCAAATGGATAAGAATGCCCCTGTAGCATTTTGGTATTCACAGATTGATTCATCCATTCGTGTACATTTGAAATAACAAGCTCATCTCATTCATTTATTTTCATTTATGCTAAACATTAGGAGGAAAAAGAAATGAATACAAGACATATCCTTACTCCCTGAGGAGACAGGTCATTATTAGACATAACATAAAGAGCACGAGAAAGATATAAAGAATATGACTGTGGAGAGCTGGTCCTGTTCCACAGGAGATATGACGCTTGAACTGGGTCCTGAAACAAAGGAAAGGGTTTGGTGGGTAGGTGAGGTGGAGAAGGACATTTGCCCTAAAAGAACAGAGTCTGTCATATGTACATGCTGTTGAGGACCACTTCCTGCAGTCAGGGACTTGTTGCCAGAGATGGCACCTTGTGAACCTCAAAAACTGTCGGCCACATTCACTTCTTACAGAAGTCAGACCTTGAAAAGGGAGTAGAGCAAGTGGAGAATAAGCAGCACAAATGTGATGGGGAAATATGGTGTAACCAAAACAAGAAAAGAAGGGAAAATTATATAACATATAATATACAAATACTCTAAAGAGTAACCTATAATACATAATGTAATCTGTAATGTACAATAATATATGATCAATTCACAAATACTTCTACTTTTACATGTTATTATACTATATATCAGCTATTATATGTATATTACATATATATATATATATGTGGACCCTGTTATCCAAACTCCTTTGTTGGCTGGCTTGCAATTGGGTTCAGCAACAGGAGGGACCCTGGAGAGCTGGAGAAGGAGGCCTCCGGATGTGTCTTTCTCACTCTTTTTCATCTTCTTTCCTCCACGACTATGGCTTCTGTCCTGGATACTGGTAGCACCATCCCCTCTCCTTAACCCCTCAGCCCTAGTCCTAGCAGAACAGCTTCTATTCTTTCTACTCCCTGGAAACCTCAACATCCCTTGTTTATTCCTTCCCTTAACCCTGCCCTCAATTATCCCACGTAAATCTCTTCATTTGAATTATCTGGGGGTGAATTCTGTTTTTTCGCTGTGATTTGCACTGATAGAATACACCACCCCTTTGTCTAAAAAATTATTGGCAAAATGGAGTGGGAAAGCCCACAGTGTCCAGATACCCTCTTCTTTTCATATCTGTAAACTTACTGGGAAATTATGCCTTAGAGAAAGTTGAGTTCTTACAGAGTTTGATCTTACTTTCTTCTCTTCTTCAATAGAATTAATAATAGAATTACGTTGTATAAGAGATGCATTATATTATTGCAACTCAATACCTCAAAACCAAATTTCTAACCTATACTTGGTCCTTGTGGATACTTCCACAAGTTTTCACCTTGATAGCAACCCCAAAACTGGGTTTACTACCATAAGATAGATGAATAATAAAGTGGGTAAGAGAGATCATATCTTCATTCTTGCAATTTTCTCATTCTACAAGGCTATTCTTGGCATAAGCAAGGTTGCAGAAGCCATTTCATCCAACCTCATACCAGTGGGTAAAGATAGATTCCATGCTGGGGGACATCTTGTTGCCAGTAGACCAGGATACCTTTAGTACCCCAAGTTACCTTTGTTCATCTGTTCTGGAACCTTGCTCTGCTAGGTGATAAGCCAATAATTATAGGAAATGAAGAAGGCTCATTGCTGTGAGTCTCCATTCTCACCTTCTGCTACCCTCTGCCTTGCTCACGAGGCTCTGGCCACAGTGTCTTCTCTGATCTCTGTCAGTCCAGAAGGCCCATCTCATGCCTTCATGTAGCTTTTGGCTTTGTCTGGGATGATCTTCCCTCTGCTTTTTTCTTGGCAAACTCTCTCCCATCCTTTAAGTCTGTGGGGATTGATGGGACCAAGTCTGGTTGCTCTTATGGTGCCTATACTATGCTTTCAGAATTACAATTAAATTAATTAGCAGAATTACAATTAAAGTGTTTAAATGTTAAAGTATTTCTTTGATGTCTGTTTCCCTATTAGACTGTAAGCTTCATGAAATCAGGGATTATGTTAGTTTTGTTCATCTTAGTTTCCCTAAAGCCTAGCACAGGGCCTAGTTACAGTAGGTATATAACAAACTTCATTGAACAATTAGTTGAATGTTGAACAAATTAATTTATCTGAGGAATTTACAATCAAAATGAGCAGTGAAACCATGTGCAGAATTTATTTAGTTATTTATTTCTAAGACATTTCAAACGTTGGAGTAAAAACTTCTATCATGGGCAATTCTAGGTTGGAGAGGATGTAGTGGTGCTTACAGAGTTCTTTGTCTAAACAAGTCTCCAAAGGTTATCAATCATTGAAAGAGGCCAAGAGCAATAGCTGCTTGTCTGTAATCTGTGGAAACTGGGGATATTCTTTTAGATAACCTTCTAAGCCCTAGATTTGGTAAAAGCGACTAGAGTGGGACATCATTATTGGCAGAGGTTCACCCCTCTCACCACCTTTTTATTCCCCCTTGTTTTCTCCTATCCTTCTTTGTTCCTTCTCTTTTTTTCCTTTCCTACCATTGGTATCCTGTGGCCCCATGAACATGGCTGGTTATGGTGGCCCAGTCTAAAAAGGACCTATTCCTCCTCTGGTGAAAGCAAGGAGTTCTTGCTAAAACTCATAACGTGGTTCTACTTTAGGTCACAGCTCTTGGCACAGGAGGGTGGCCATTTGAGCTGAGCGTGTAAGCAGAATAGAATAGTCAGACCACGGTTCTCCTGGACACCATCTTTCATCTTTCCTTCTGCTTCAAGGACTGCATCCAGTTTGCGGGCAGCCTGGGTTGATTCGATCCTGTCTCCTCTTTTCCATATTTTCAGCCATTCACAGAGGCTATTTCAGGCTCTCACCGTCTCCTTTCTGAATTATTGCAGTAGTCATCCAACTCATCTCCCAGACTTCAGGAGTTATATTTCCCAAAGCTTTGCTTCTATCCTACTGGCCAACTCAGAATTTGTGATGCCCCTTATTGCTCATATGACTTTCCAGTCTCTCAGCAAGCCTTCGAGAACCCTTTGCAAGCTGTCTTCAAAATCCCTTCATCTCTAACCCCATCCAACACTCCCCAAACACTCAGCGCTCCCGTTCCTTGAACTCTGATTTCCATCCCTGTGCCGCTCAGTTTTCCGTTTCTGTGGGCCACACCGCACACTGTGCTCTCATTGCTGAGAAGCTCGCCTTCCTCGAGCCTAGACAGCTGTCTTCTGAATACTTCTTCCTCATCCTCAGAGTCAGGACTCCATAGTCTCTGCTCTGCACTCTCAGGCAGGTTTACTTATAAGTCATTTACAGTTTGCCTTGTTTTGTAGTGAATTGTTTGCTTCTGCCACGGCCTATGAGCTCTGCAAAAGAAGAAACCATGTTTTATTTGTACAATCTCTATATGATCTTGATTTTCCAGGGCAGTGCCTTTTCTGTCTTATTGCTCCCCTGAGTACACACATGGCTATGTGACCATACATCTGTTCGGAAAACAGTCCTAGCTTTTATTCCTCTTCATATATCCCCATTATAAGAAAGTGCTCAGAAATTGTTGATTGTTAAATTGAATGAACTAGGTGACTCCTTAAGAAGCAGTGTTCCCCCTGTGGATCTATGATTCAATTAGGAAAAATATATTTATGTCTTGGATCAGCTTTGTTTTTCTCCAGATGTCCTGGCAGCTGGGGAAAGTTGGAAAGGAAAAAACACCTATCCATAAAGAATAATGGAGATTGAGGTTTGAGGTGAGGAAGAAGGAATTCAATGAATGAAATCAGAGCCATTAAACGTTTGAGGTGCCTGCCCTCCTGTTTGTTGTACCATTGTGTCAACACACAGCAACAGCTTCCTTTCTTTGCCAACAAGGACTTACAATATCTACTTTCATGCTGAAAAAC